ATATTTTCTTTCAAATTTCAATTTTGGAATAGACCTAAAAATACGCGATTGTATTTATTCGGTATCGCTAAAACTGTTTAGGAACATTTAAATCAGCTACGATCGTGTAAAAAAAAAAACGATTGCAAAAAAATAAAATAAAAATAATAATAATAATTATTTCTTATACCGGTATTTAAGATCAATCTTTATTATATGATATCGTGTTTTAAAACCAATTAAGTGAAATAATTGTGTGCATCGTGTACACCGTTCTATCCCACCTAGCCAGCCAATAAAAGAAACTACCTATAATTGGTCATTATCAAAAAGCAGGCAAGTAATCGAGATCCCGGCATGGTGACCATCTTATATTTCTGTCATATTTTGAATTTAAGAGCACTAAAATATTATGTGAATTCGAGCTCGTTATTAACAATAGGAATTTTACATCTCTTCACCTTTAAAATTATACGAGTCGCGCAAAGCGAAAATGGGAGGTAATGCAAACAATCGTTTTAAAAAACTGTTACGTCATTATTCATTTCCTCACCCCCCCCCCCTTTTCCTTTCAACCAGCCTCTAAATCTGTGGTCTAATGGCGCGGTTACTGGATCGAATACTTTTGAAAAGAAATGATTTCGATTCCGATTAAAATATCAAAGTATTGAGTTATGTGTCATTATGATACATAATATCGATTTTCCAATAAAGTTGCATCGTTTAACAATTTTCATTCGTATAATTTAATTCAAAATGAAAGAGCGAGTGTTGCAATTGAGATGTGGCGTTATTAAATATTATTTTGCTCCCCATCTCTACCTTCTTTCTTGCAAATAATAAAAATGAATGGATTTGGAGCGCCCCCTATGGTAATGTCTAGAAATCACTTTCAAAATTTTAAGGGTGCGCAAATAATTTGCGCTACTATAATTTCAAAAAACGCTATCTGTTAAGCTAAAAGTTATTGGTAAGCAAGTGATACTTCCTCAGTGTATTTTTAGCGCTGCTTAAATTACGGACATTAACTTCAAATACATGACATATAAGTAAATCAGAACTAAAAAAAACAACAACCCAAAAAACAATGACGTCATGAATCTTATAGATTTCTAATCAACTAAACGAAACTATGTGTTAACTGATGCAATGCTGTCGATAGCAAATCGTTTAATCCAAGTAAATATGAACCAAATACATCCAAACAACTTTCTTCTCTGCAACAACACCACCACCACCACAACACACCCAGGGTGTCACCAGTCACCAGACAACCCCATAAGGTCATCAAGACTCAACTGGTCATTTCATCATCGTCACTCAATCGCTTGATGAATGTATGATTTCCTCTTAACGGTAGGAATCTGTTTCCTTGAACAGACACGTCTTCAAGCCAAGACACAATGTCACTGATCCCACAGTTGATGTCATCGGAGTGGCGGTCCGGGAGGACAATGATTTACTAGTGAAATTACTAACATGACTCCAGGATGACATTACTAACCATGACTCCAGGATGACATTACTAACATGACTCCAGGATGACATTACTAACATGACTCCAGGATAACATTACTAACATGACTCCAGGATGACATTACTAACCATGACTCCAGGATGACATTACTAACCATGACTCCAGGATGACATTACTAACCATGACTCCAGGGTGACATTACTAACCATGACTCCAGGATGACATTACTAACCATGACTCCAGGATAACATTACTAACCATGACTCCAGGATGACATTACTAACCATGACTCCAGGATGACATTACTAACCATGACTCCAGGATGACATTACTAACCATGACTCCAGGATGACATTACTAACCATGACTCCAGGATGACATTACTAACCATGACTCCAGGATGACATTACTAACCATGACTCCAGGATGACATTACTAACCATGACTCCAGGATGACATTACTAACCATGACTCCAGGATGACATTACTAACCATGACTCCAGGATGACATTACTAACCATGACTCCAGGATGACATTACTAACCATGACTCCAGGATGACATTACTAACCATGACTCCAGGATGACATTACTAACCATGACTCCAGGATGACATTACTAACCATGACTCCAGGATGACATTACTAACCATGACTCCAGTAAGACATTACTTACCATGACTCCAGGATGACATTACTAACCATGACTACAGGATGACATTATATATTTGTATTAATAGTTTTGTTTTATTTTTGTATTGATACAATTGTAAAGAGAGAGGATAATGAAACCTTTGGTAATATTTAAAAATATAATTGTTTAGTTCACTATAGTTTAATTCGGCATAAAAGTGCCTTTCATTTAATTAAAGTCATAAGCCTATCAGTGTCTCGTAGAATAACTGTGTAGTAGATCTACTGTCATATGAAACTGAACGTGGCACACACTAAAGGTAGCACACACTAAACGTGGCACACACTAAACGTATAGCAAATGCTAAACGTAGCACACACTAAATGTAGCACATGCTAAACTCAACATTCGTTCTTCTTTTGTTTCATCTGGGTCAAATTTAGAAATGAGCTGATAAATGATAACTGCCTAATAAACGAACAATTTAGATTTCGACCAGTGAAGAATTGCGTGTGTCAACGAAAACGTATGGTCTTAGTGGAACAAAGAGTTTCTTCAAAGGTTTTTAGTGTGGGTCAGGCCGCAGACAGCAGAGCTTAGTTCCTGAGCATTGCCCCATAGAGAGTAAGCACGTAAATAAGTCATGCCCCCCCCTCCAATATCAGCAGTGATCTCAATTATAAGCCAAGCCCATTTATATAGCAGTCACGTAACCCAGATAAATCAGTTGTTTTACCCTGACTGTAAGTCAACTGTGACCGCTTCTATGGGGTACGTCCAAAGTTTTGTAATACAGAGTCGCTTGCCCTTTGTTGCAACCTACTTTTTTCCTATTTCGGTTGCTTCCAAAGTCATGGTGTTGTTTCTCAGCTCGATTCCAGTAAGTTGAGTTGGGCAGACTAACACAGATCCAGTAATAAACAGTTTTAAAATAAAATATTGCTTTAACTCTGAAGTAATTTCTCTCCTCTCAGTTCATGACATCTTCATCCAATCCATGTTTACTAGGTCAGATGTAACAACCAGTAATCTTATGAAAGTGGAAATGGTCTAAATAATTCATTTGCTCATTTCTCACTGGAAATACAAATTGCTTCTTATGTGTTAGCGCCCCTTTCGTAAGTGATGATTCATCGTAAAATAACTCGGCAGAATTTATCAGTTTGAGGCCGAAACATATAAACTCTTGATTTGAGCCTCGGATAAGTGTGCAATTTGTAGGATTTTTTTTTTACATTTCTCTGTAATAATGGTAAGTAGAGATGCAGTACTATGTACTTCTCTAAGCACACAGTTATTGGTATAGCCAAAAAAAAAAAAACAATAAAATTTTTAACGATTTTTTTTTGACAAATCCTGTGACATTTGTAAGAATTGATGATATTAAAATTGTCGCAGAGATTATGGTTTGTGGGTTCACTGAGATCGAGGACTCGCTTAACAAGTTGTTGTATTGCTGATTTCATGATGTGCACGATTCTAACAACTAACAGCTTGATGTGATTGGTATCAATCAAGCTAGAGGGAAATAAATAACCACGGGGTGATTTAAATAAACGCTTCAAACTAGAATAAGGCAGGCTGCGAGTTGAACACTTTATCAAATTATTTTAACCTTAAATTACCGTATTTATCGGCGTTTAACATGCGCAGGCTTATAACATGCACTTCATTTTAAGAAGGAAATTTCAGGAAAAAAAACGTTACATTATATCGGCCTATAACACGCACACATCATGTGCCCCTTATTGTCAGGGAGAAAAAGTGCGTGTTATACGCCGATAAATACAGTATTTTGATTTGACAAGTTCGCTAAAAATGCTAACAAAAACCTACAAAAATTGTCCATGGAATAGGTAACAGACGGTGACTGCACACATTAGAACACCGTTAATTTCAACCCATCGATGCTTGAACAAAGTAAGCTGGATGTGTTTGATTATTGATAACAGCAAAATATCACATTAAACGAAATGGTCTGGCAAACTGTTGTCTACTGATCACATTGCTTGCTATGGTCTAATGGTCGGTGGAAAGTGTGATCTTTTAGCCGTGAAATCAACACGAAGACATATCAGACAAGGGCTGACAAAGGACTAAGTGACGAAATCTCCATCAAGAAAAGCACACTTAAGTTATTGAAAGTTTCCAACTTTCAGCCAGAGTCTGATGCTCTAGTATTTTTAATCAAAAATAATATGAATACATGCAGACCGACGACGGCTTCTTCAACAATTGTAATTTTATTTTAAATAATAAAGGATTGGATGTGGAAAACGCGGTTATTTTGAATTTGAAAAAAAAAAACACTCTTTGTAAACTTAAGTTAAATGGTGGGGGGGGGGAGGAGAGTGTGTTAATTTGGGGTATGGTGTTGAATAATTTAAATTTCGATTCTTTAAGCATGGTCCCTATGAGAATCTGACCAACATTTGTAAGACTTT